TTCTGGGTCTTTTAGGGGTGGAGGCACAGTTTGAGATACCTGAACTATACCGAGAAATGATCAGATTTGGGTGTCACCTATTGCCTTGGACCAATATTTCACCCTTAGTATGTCCATAAGAGACCTAATTTCTGGTGTTTTTTTTTTTTAATAATTATTTATTTTTGGTGTGGTGATGAATGAAGGGCTATGAAAAATTATTCAGAAGTTGATAATATATGTAGTGCATGGTATGATATGTACGGTAAGTAACAATGATGAGATGAGGCCAGATGTTGCTAATATATAAGAAATGGTTTTCAGTTTGAGTTGCACTGTACGTTTCAATAGCATAGAACAATTTTTCAAAACTCTCATTGTTAAAGCAGAATGGGAACTTCTAAATTAGCCATATCCAGAAGACCGAAGGACCACAGGAGCATGAGGGACCCAAATAAGTGTCAAACTATTCAAAAATGGTTTGATTCCTTACTGTGGGTCAGTGCCAGGGGACTCCTGATACCATAACCCATTACAAAGGACTTTAGTGGTTATGGTGCTTAGACTAATGGGACACTTCAGGCAGAATTTCAACCTCATTGTTAAACTGCAGTTCTGCTAATTGCAGAAACAAATGCTAAAATATATCAAGATTAAACAATATTATCTTTGAATTTCCCTTGTTTACCACAAATCTGCAGCCCTCTCAGGAAGTGACTGGGATTTCAAACTACAGTGCAGTGCAGCTTATATTTTTTAATGAACAAATCTAACTCATGCATGTAGTTGCTGAACACGCTCTCTCGTATAAATTATAGGATAGTACAACACTGCGGACCCAATCTTTATCAAGAATGTACATAGCATTTTATTTATGATTTTTATTAGTATCTATATAAAATCCTTCATTTAATGTACTGTAAACTGTAACCAGTATGTATGGGAAATAAATCTCCAGTGGGACAATTCACTAAACAATATATTGTGGAAAGCAGACAATAAAATATAGCAAAAAAAATAAATCTTTAATTCAGCATGTCAGCTCACTAATCTAGTGCTGGTTTAAGAATGTTTGGATTTTTGGAGGAGGGATCTGGATATGCTTACTGTAGTTGGATCAACTATGTACTGATCAGCTCTGAAGTGTAGAAAATATTTAAACAAAACTTTAGTTCTAAATCTTCTGGTTGCTATGGTAATTGCTCCACTTTTTCTATTAATGGGTCTTTAATGTATCTCACTCATATCCTTTAATTTGAAATGTGTCAACATTCATTATATGTAGACACTACGCAATCCCTTTGGCCTCAAAATCCATTATTTTTCTGAAACTTTTAGCAATGAGTGGGTTAACTAGGACTACATATGGAAACACTTAATAGAAATCCATAGAGTAAAGAAATTGTAGCCTGAGGAAGTGATGTATTTGCATGCAGTAAATGCACGGCATTAAGACAGTTTCAGGAGTGGAGTTTGTACTTTTCATTCTTGGTATGATCAGAAATTTAAATAAAAGCTAGGTCAACAAAGAAATGGCGTATGGCTGTGAGCAATATCAGTTAAATAGCAATCATAATGACATTTCACACAGCAGCTACACTGCCCTGGTTTCCAAGCTAATCATGTTTACAGAGGATAAGAAACCGCCCAGATGATAATAAGAGTGGCTGCAATCTACTTTAAATAATACAAAGATATGCGTAGCAGCCCTTATAGACATACAGCTGCTAATATGCTGTAAATGCAGAGCACATACTGGAACTCGGAAGACGTTGCCATGCAAACTGGAAAAAAATTGATTGGCTTGAAGGGGTAAAAAAAACCAATTTTTTATATAGTAATTGTTGCAGCTGAAACAATATATATAGTAGTTGAACAATGATACCAAAGAACGTTATATGATTAACAAAACATGTACAATTCTAGAGCAAAGCTAATTTCTCATATGTTAAGGAATATTCCGTTAATTCGTGAGCCATTCTGATATACACAAGTATTTTATTTTCTGTAGGTATTTTTCAGTGGAATCATGGGATTTCAAGTTCAGCAACATCTGGAGGGCCATCATTTGGAGAACCCTGACCTAAAACAATATTCCTTGAGGTCATTCAGTACACAAGATTTTATTTAATAAATTGTGAATTGAAGTGGATCAAAAACCAAATTGCGAGATTTCAGCTAAATGGCTCACTTGGCATAAATCTCTAAAATCTCACAGCATCGCTATTTTGTAATCCTCTAGTATGTATATGCAGTGTGTGCCAGAGATTCTGAATCGTGTATATGCAGTTTGAGATATCCTCTATTTTATATACACCGATCAGCCGCAACATTAAAGCCACTGATAGGTGAAGTGACTAACATGGATTATTTTGTTGCAATGGGACCTGTCAAGGGGTGGGATATATTAGGCAGCAAGTGAACAGTCAGTTCTTGAATTTCATGTGTTGAAAGCAGGAAAAATGGGAAAGTGAAAAGCTCTGAGTGACAAGGGCCAAATAGTTGTAGCTAGATGACTGCTAGTAGCAAGTGGCAAGTCTTGTGGGGTGTTCCAGATATGCAGTAGTTGGTACCTACCATAAGTGGTGCAAGAAAGGACAAGTGGTGAACCAGAGTCAGGGACATGGGCACCCAAGGCTCATTGATGCACGTCAGAAGTGAAGGCTATCCAGTCTAGTCCGGTTTCAAATTGCTGAAAAACTTAATGCTGGCTGTGATAGAAAGGTGTCAGAACATACAGTGCATCGCAGTTTGGTGCATATGGGGCTGCATAGCCACAGACTGGTCATAGTGCCTTTGATGACCCCTGTCCATTGCCTAAAAGCGCCTTCAATGTAGGATGTGCTAGAAAAACAAATAAGATCTATGGAGGTTCCACTTTGCAACTTGCAGGACTTGAAGGATCTGCTGCTAATGTCTTGGTGCCAGATACCAAAGGACATGTTCAGATGTCTTGTGGAGTCCACGCATCAGACCTGTTTTGGCATTACGAGGGTACTTACACAATATTAGACAGCTGGTTTTAATTCTGTGGCTGATCAGTATATCAGATATCAAGCAGTATATGTCAATTCATTGTGTGTCGGGTATCCATCAGTATGTATTTGCAGTGTCATAGATACCCTAACCAGTGTAGACATAGAGAGTCGTCATACATGTCTTGTACCACAGTTAGAACTTTTTCTCCTTGTTGGGTGCTAATGGGACAGGAATGACCTGCTAGGGTATGTGAGCCATGTGTGTTTTCTGCTGAGCCATTTTGGTTCCATTGGCTTAACTTGGCTCGGTCAGAGGTCACAGCCTGTGGCCCTGAGATATTTTTGCACACACTATTATAAAAGCAATGAGTATATTGAATGCACCTGTTTTACAATACATTAACAGGTAAAACAATTCTACAACAAACAATGTTGAATTAAAATTAAACAGCTCTCTAATTAAAAAACACAATCAAATTTACATAATGTAATTTTGTGCATTGTTGTCGAGCTGGAGGCCTGCAGGCTCAATTCAGTTTTCATACATTTATATATATAAAACCTCCATTCTGCCTGCAAGACTCAGGGATACAGAAGTTTCTTTTACTAGTAAATTACAATGTTTCATGTAAAAAATTTTTTTTTTTTTTACTTGTATAGGTGTCCATTTGGATCTCACTGTGGGGCTTTTTTGTTTTGTTTGTTGTTTTTCCTTTGTTTTTGTTTTGTGTGTTGTCTTCCTCAATAGTTATATATAAAATATTATAAAGCTGCTCAATAAAAACATGTCATTCCAAAAAAATATGGATTATAGCCTCTGTTAGTATAGGCATATGAAACTTCTCATTTCTAATCAAATAAAATTGTAGATAAACAAATAGTCACATGCAATGTTCTGCTCAAGTATAATAAAAAATTTTAGAATGCATCAGATTTATTACGTACAATGTTCTACATGACTGTGATCACAAAATGATAACATACGAAGAGGTGCATGCAAGGGTTTTACTGGGAGTGCTGATCTGGGATTGAGCTCTGAGTTCGGTTCTGAAAGCCCTTTTTTATTTAGGTACCCTTTCACTGTTAAATGTAAATGCTAACACAAAGATCCAGTGCCAGACTGCCAGTGCAATCCCAAATGTCCCACAGTAAAAAGGGAATTGGAGGCACACCCAGAACATGCATTTCCTAGTAGCAATGCTCCTGTAAAGACAAAATGTAATGCAAAATACAGATTAATGGAACAGTGCGCACACATAAACACACACACAAAATATAAATAAATATTCTCAATAATATAATTTTTTTTCTTCGTTGCCTGGATTGGTTTTTAGGAAAGTTTACAAACAGATTGCAAACGAGGCCCTGTTTATTTGCTTTTTAAAACTTAAAAAAAATATATATTGTATACTTATACATATTAGAAAAGTGTATTTGGTCTAATGCATGTATGTGCATATATCCTCTCTTTTCTTTGGATACCCTGAAGGCGTCATTTGAATTTTTATAAATCTGGAATGTCCTATTTATATTTGAATTTGTGAACATGTTAACTTATCTTTTTTGCTTTTCAAATACATTAAACTCTTTCCTTTTTTTCTAAGCTCTGCTTGTCAATATTTTCATACTGCCAGATGGATCTTGTGTGTAAAGTTTTCTTTGTATGGTATATGTCATTGTCATGGTACCTGTAAAATCCACCATGTCACTACTCCAGCCAGCTGGTATAAACGCAAGATGTTGCAACTATACATCTTTTATGGATGCGAGAAGAGGGCTATCTATTTTACTCACACAGTGGGAGCAGGGCCGGTGCAAGGATTTTTGCCGCCCTAGGCAAAAGCAAAGTTTGCCTGCCGTGACATCACAATGCCCCACCCATATGACCTGCCATGTTAACTAACGCCAGTGCTGCAGTGCCGCCGTGTTTACATTAAAAGGCCTGCAGGGACAGGCTATAGACACCAGAACCACTACATTAAGCTGCAGTGGTTCTGGGGACTATAGTGTTTCTTTAATGTGAGGTAAATTAGAGATTAGTGCCACGAATAATATACTAGATTACCTACTTACAAGCAGATGAGGATGATGATGGCCTCTAGCTGCAGTCTGGCTCCACTGGTCTGGTGTATAACAGGATCTGTGGAGGCTGTTTGTAACTGTGGTCACAAAAATCAATGTTCTGGGAGAACGAGAAGCAGCTCCATTTTTTGGGGGCCCTTTACACAGCTCAAGGTCTGGGTCCCAGGGTCCACCTTCATGTTCCACCAATGAGTTTGTTCACAGGGGGTGGAGTGTGTAGGGGATGTCCTGATTTGTGTGTAAGGAATGCATTGTGTGAATCTGTGTCTGTATGTGTAAGGGCTGCAAGGTGTGTTTCTGTGTATGTAAGGGATGAAGTGTGTGAGTCTGTAAGGGGTGCTTTGAGTGTGTTTAAGGGGTGCATTGAGTGTGTATAAGGAATGCATTGTGTGTTTCTGTGTGTGTAAGGGATGCATTGTGTGTAAGGGTTGCATTGCGTGTGTGTGTGTGTGTGTGTGTAATGCATTGTGTGTTTTTCTGTGTGCAAGGGTTCATTGTCTTTGTGTGTAAGGGGTGCATTGTGTGTGATTGTGTGTGTGTGTGTGATGGATGTCAATCTCTCCCCCCTCCCTTGTCACTCTCTTCTCCCCTCCTCCCTTGTTACTCTCATTCCCCCTCCCTCCCCTGTCACTCCCCCCTCCCTGTCAATTTCTCTCTCCCCGTCAATTCCCCTCCCTGTCAATGTCTCCCCCCTCCCTGTTAGTTCCCCCCCTGTTAGTTTCTTCCCCCCACCTCCCTGTTAGTTTCTTTCCCCCCACCTCCCTGTTAGTTTCTTTCTCCCCCTCCCTGTTTCTTTCTTCCCCCTCCTTCCCTGTTTCCTTCTCCCCCTCCCTCCCTGTTTCCTTCTCCCCCCTCCCTCCCTCTTTTTTCCCCCTCCCTCCCTGTTTCTTTCTTCCCCCTCCCTCTGTTTCCTTCTCCCCCCTCCTTCCCCCTCCTTCCTCCTGGGCACAACTTTCTTTCCCTCCCTCCTGTTTCCTTCTCCCCTCCCTCTTTCCTCCCCTCTCCTGTTTCCTTCTCCCCCTCCCTCTTTCTCCCTCCCTCCTGACATCCTCCCCCCTACCTCTTTCTCCCCTCCTCCCTGTTTCCTTCTCCCCCTCCCCTCCTGTTTCTTTCTTCCCCTCCTTCCTCCTGTTTCATGCTCCCCTCCCTCCTTGTTTCTTTCTTCCTCCCTTCCTGTTCTTTCTCCCCCCCTCCCTCCTGTTTCCTTCTCCCCCTCCCCACCCTCTTTCTCCCCCTCCTCCGTTCCTTCTCCCCCCTCCTCTGTCTCCCCCTCCCTCCTGTTTCCTTCTCCCCCCCTCCCTCTGTCTCCCTCCCTCCCTGTTTCCTTCCTCCCCCCCTCCCTCTTTCTTCCCCCTCCCTCCCCTACCTGTGTGGTAGTGTGGCCGAGCCCAGTATAGTCCGACCGGTACAGGGAGCTGTTGTTTCCTGTACCCGGCCGGACTAACAGGAAGTGAACACTCAGTGTTCACTTCCTGTTAGTCGGGCCGGGTACAGGAGACAGCTGCTCTCTGTACCGGTCGGTGGCAAAGGGCTTCGACCGCGCATCAGAAGAGGCGACAGATGGGGCGGCTCGGCTGGCGCTCCCTCACTGTCAGCCCTCTCCCCCCATCTCGCGCCCGGTGGGGTCATGCCGATGGGCGCAGCCGGGCAAAGCTGCAGCCGCCTGAGGCTCTCTACAGAGCGCTCGGGCGGCTGCAGGATTAGGGGGGCCGGCGCTCCTGGCGGCGCCCCCTCCCAAGGGGCGCCCTAGGCGGCTGCCTAGTCCGCCTTACAGGTAGCGCCGGCCCTGAGTGGGAGAACTCATACCACATCAGCATAGGAGCATGTTGTTGTGCAAATGGATTGATGCAGGATGATGAGATGAGAACTTTGGCCTAGTTAAACCCAGCTTTAAAGGGACACTATAGTCACCAGAACTATTAAAGATTAATGTAGCTGTTCTGGTGTCTATAGCATGTCCCTGCGGTCTTAGCACTGCAAACACTGCCTTTTCTCTTTACATTGCTGGCTAGTAACACCTCCAGTGGCTTTCACTCAGATGGCTACTACCGGTACAACTTAGTCCAGTACTGCACAGAGACGCTAAACGTTCAATGCATCTCTAAGGGGAGATGTTGATTGGCACATCTATGGGAAGCATTGGATTGGCTGAGATCATCAAGATTGATAATCTCAGCCACAGAGTAGTGTTCCTTCAATAGTTTATTACTTTCCTGACATTCACGCGCCATATTCTAAACTTGGGAGCTAGGGAACCAAAAAAAGGGTACAAATCGCGAAGACGAGTTCCCCTGATAAGGTGACACCATAAATGGACATGCTCATCCAAAAGGAGGTAGAGGCTGTCCAAGAATGGTAATATACAGCCCTACTCAAGCTGCAAATGCACAGAGGACAGTTAAAGGGTTCTGTTCATGAGCTGACCGTAGTTTGTGCAGTGCGAGTTGTTTAATGATGTGCACATGCTGTGCTTTATGGGGATTTGTTTTTGGTGTCCCCAGATGTTGGAAACCAAAAAGCAAACCAGGGTCGGTGGAACAGGACCCTAAAGTTCTACTGTACCAGGGACTATTGGAAGGTATTCATGCACTGATCATATTTGTTCACAAAAGTCTACTATATATTCTTTATTGATTGATTATATATATAATTATTCACCAAAGTATTGCTTAGCAATTGTGCATGAGTAGCAAATGGAAATGTTTTCCTCTGCAGGGGTTAAACGACAGGCGTACTGCACCCAGACCACTTAATTGAGATGAAGTTCTCTGGCTGAATTTAGTGTCTTTTTAAGTTCCCTTTGGTCATAAGCACAATTTATTCAGTTAACAACCATGTGAAACCTTAGTTATTGTTCACTACTCCTCACCTCATCCGCAAGCATCGGGAATTTACAAAAACGCTCGTTTGGACAGTTTCAGAACTGCAAATTGTTCTTGGTCCAACAGGTAAGTGTTGCTTCTTATCAAATAAGTCTAAAGATGGTTGCCTGCACATTGCAATGGTAAGTCAGGAGACGCACTAAGAAATGAATAACAGTTATTTAACATTTATACTACTGAGTTGAGCCTTACAGAATGTAAAATGTATAAATGGTGTAAGAGGGTGCTAGGTGACCGGGGGAAAATGTACATACAAGGCCAATTTCGCTGTTCATTCCCTTTCGTCAGTTTGCGTTAGTTTACGTTTTTAAAGAAGGTATATGTTTATATTTTCTGTACACCTGTAGACGGGTTCAAAAATATTTTTTAGTGTATCAAAAAAATTAAAATGATTCTCTTTTATTTATGTCTTTGTAGAGATTTATTTCTTAGATACTCCATTCTTTTTGATTTTGTTTTGTCTGTGTTTTAATTTTGGGTCACCCTCACGTCACAAGTCCTCGTCACACGACCATCGGTCACTTTGTTGGTGACTGTTTTTTGTATTCAAAAATAATTTTACCTCATTTTTTTTTATTAGTATTATTTAGTATAGAAATATATATATATTCCCCACCCCCCCTCCTCTGGATGCACACTCTAAGGTAAAAGTGTTGGACACACCTGTGAATAGTGATGTAAAAAAAATAAATAAACCTTTCAGGTACACATTTTAACCATTATACTGTGAGTACATATCATTGCACAAGATGACAGCCTATGTGGCCATTAGCAGCACAATAACAATGCCTGCAGACACACAGGTCAGTGAGTAAGGTAGTGCTGGGTGTGCATTGCACTACGCGGCAAGGCAGGGGTTAACCCCAAATCAAACACTTCTCCCTGGCAACAGCAGCAGCAACAGCAGCCCCGGCGCGTGATTCCCAGCCGGCGGCGCATGCGCAGTGCAGGGCGGACACAGAGAGCGGCAACCCCGGGGCAGGGAAAGATGGCGGACTGTAGCGGCAAACTGAAGGGTCTCCGGGAACAGATCGGTAAGCCGGGTAACGGGTGAGGCTGGCCGGGTGGGAGCCCACTGAGAGCGGGGGAGAGCAGGCAGCCAGCCGCTGTGACAGGGTGTGTTGGGTGAGAGGAGCTGCAGGGAGACGTGGCCTGTCATGGAGGGAGAGAGGGAGGCTCAGGAGGGGCTGTCCTCACCCTGTATTGAGAGCCTGGCCCGGGGGCCAGCGGGGGCCGCCCTCACATCCTGTCACACCAAGCCCCTCGCTGCCTCTCCTGTCACTGTCCTCAGGCTGCCTTGTGAGAGAAGATTTTAGTGTTTTTTGTTTTTTTTTTACATTAAGTTTTTTGGGGTCCTATATAAATAAATATAAATATTTGCCCCTTTTCCCCCCCTGTGTAACCCACTGAGTGCCGGATTGCTGGTGTTTTCCTCACAGCCCTCCCTGTGACAAGCTGCACTGTAATAATATGGGTAACCCATTCTGTGCTGGAGATCAGTCAGTTGGTTAATGTGGGCAGTTAACATGCAGTAACCAACTCCCTGATTACTGGATTAGCACACTCCTACACTGAGTGAATGCTACTTATTGCTAGGCAGCACTTTTCATGCTCATCCCAATAGCATCATTTGAGGAGTGGTGTGTGCAGGAAAAGGTGGCTGTTTGTGGCAACACTATTCACTGTGATGGTTTCATTAATTCTGACACTAAAACGGTTAATGAAGGATTACTTTACATTTCAATAAAGGGGTAATAATTTAGGACATTAACTGACCAGAGCCTTTCCTTTTCTTAGTTTATGCAACTGTTCATTCCTAAGATGTGGTATACTGTTAAAATGATGTATGTAGCATCAACATATTCTGCAGCGCTGTATAACAGGAAACAAGACAAAGCTTTATTTATAACAAAACATGCATGACATACAGTAGGTGAAGAGGCCCTGCCCAAAGGAGCTTACAATCCAAAGATTATCATTTCCATTGTAAACAACCGGGGGGGGGAAGCAGACTGGGCACCAGGGATGCGTAGTCAGAAAACCTAAGTAAAAATGTGTTATTCTTATAAAGTTCATGAGGTAACCTTGTATACAAGTCTCATTCAATCTTTTTAGCTAGCGGTCAACATAATTTGCTCACGTTCACCTAGGGGTTGTTTTCCATAGGGATTCAAACTGTGACAGATAGTTAAGCTTTTCAAGATCATTGCCAACATGTGCTTGTTTTGATCCCTTTTGTTTTCCTCCCTCCTTATCCTCAAGAGTGGTATCTCAATCTGATTATTTGTTCTATCTGTCATCTGTGACAGCAGGGTAATACCCAATCCAGCTGGTAATATGGGTCACTTAGACATCAGAGGAGCTAAATCTTAAAGGGAGTGCAGAAAAATATACAGAATGTAAATTAGTCAAATTTTCTTTGAATTGTTTTGAATTGAGATTTGCAGCAGCAGATTTCCAGTATTTATTTGACCTTTTTTTTTCCCCCCTTCTCACCATGCCAAAATGTAAAATGGGATTCTTCTATTACATTGACAAATTTTCTAAAGTTCATGATACCTTCCCATCCCCATGTCTTTTTATTTTTAGTACAATTGATTTTGCGTT